GTTAAGGATAAACATAAAACATGGAGGGGTGCAACAGCAGTCCCCCCAGGCTACGGTGTGGTAAGCTCTCAAGCCTGGCGTGTCAAATTCTAGAGAGAGTAACCCTTAAATTCACAGCCTCCAAACTGTATACATTGAATAATACCTATATTGTGCATTTCTAGCACTGGAATCGTTAGCATCAACAGCAGTGTTTAATGTTTAATATTTAATTAATGTTTTTTCTACAATCAGATCAGACAGTGATTTAAATATTGCAGTTTTATTATCATTATAACACTTTTTAAAATTCTGGCGAGTGAATTTTACTCAATTCTGTATGCCTTCACTTCCACCCTACCAAATGTGAGATTACTTTTTATGCTAGTAAGTATAAAAAAACGAAAAGTAACTGCATTATCATTTGCTGGAGTTTATGCGGAACTTCTATGACACAAAATTTCCCATAATTCAGCCTTATACAGCTGTACCTCCAAAACTACAACTAAACTGTATTTTATACAGGTAAACAGTATGGACTGGCACCTGCGGTGAATGAGTTACCCAGAAAGATGTATTTGCTAGACAGACTAATTTAGCCACATACTTTGGATTTTCGATGGGTTTCATAGACGATGCGCTCTGCTGCAACTAAGCAAATACAAGTCGTGTCTAAACATAGTACTGCTTTCTAGGTAATTTGACATATTTGTTAAAATTTTGTTACCACACCAAGGTCAAAAGATCAATGTGTATGTTATTCTTATGTATTCTTATGTATGATTTTCTTGTGAGACCTCATATTTATTATAAATAGATGTCATTCAAAAAACTTTGCCCATCAATTCTGTTCTACTGACTCCATTAGGCGCCCAGTGCTTGGACCCCTACGATTGCCACTTGAGCTGTAATAAGATGTTTTTTTTAAGCTCTCAAAGCAGTTCAAAGAAATCAATCAATCAAAAACTGAAATCAATCAATCAAAAACTAAAATGCTTCCATGTCACAGAAATTGCACTTACAGTTGACTGGGGCAGACCTAGCCCTGCAGATATTTCCTAATCTGACTTATGGCAAAGTTGCAATCATATGACATTTAAAGTCACTGAGCTCTTTAGCACAACGTGTTCTACTGCCAGACTGCATGGCTATGTGCTTGATTTTATTCTCCTGATTGCAATGGCTGTGGCTGAAGCACCTGCACTCAATAAGTAGACGGGTGTCCAAATACTTTTGGTCATACAGTGTATGTAAAATATTAAAAACAGCTATGTCCAAAACTGAAAGCGCAAATGCCCCCTTTTAGCCCCCTGTTGCGCTCGTCCTGCACGAAACAGCTAGCAAGCCAGCCAAGAACAAAAGAAGAAGCAGGCGAGGGATTAGGATGCGGAGTGCGTCTCGGGAGTGTGTGTGGTAATGGTATGCTAACAGGGCAGCCGTGTGTGTGACGTGTGCACGGTTGAGTATGTGTGTGGAGGAGACAGTGAGTCCTGTCACCGTGTGTTCTGAGGGAACAAAAGAAGACGTCCTGCAGGGGACGGAGATCACTGCAGCCACCTTTTGGCATTCTGAGCAGCCTCTCTCTCTCTGCCTGGTTCTCCAGGTAGCTCGACCTTTTCTGTCAGTCCCACAGCCCATGCTTAGAGGAAGTACAACACTAAAGCGACTGGTGCTGCCCACCGCTAACTGAAATTGCAGGGAGACACACTGAGATCACTCACTAGAAAAGAGCCTGTGGACTATTGCACTGTAGTGCTGTTTCTGATCTGATGTGCAGTGACTATGTATGTGGTTTGCTTAGTTATACTAGGAATGCCGCAATATGCAATTTCGGGGCCAGTAACACGTTTTTTCTGCATTTAAATCAAATAAATATAGGGCTGGATGATCTGGGAAAAAATATATTTGCAGTTCAAAAAAACATAAAACAAGTGAATTTTGGCATTAAAGGGGAATTTTGACATAAGTAAATGTTTAAAATGTCAACTGAGTCATTCAGAGTGGTTTGGTGTGAAACACTCCGTTCTAGAGAAACTTTCTGAGTCAGAACTGTTCACAGTGGTGGTGATAGGAACCAGATGTCCACCTCTAAAAGCTCCCTCACAGAAAGTTACTACATTAAATGGCTATGAATTCACTGCCTGATGTCTCAGACATTGTTTTCTGAAAGTGTTGGAAAGATTTTAGCTAAAACAATTTTTTTTATATACGTTTGTGGTGAAGGAGTACAGGCAGGAAGTTGTAAGGCAAAATAGTACCTAGAAGAAAATTTGTTATTTTTAGATTTAATATTATTTTACCATTGTCAACATTACATATAAAACTGAGAAGACTCGTGTAGGTTCACTGGTAGTTTTGGATAATGAATAAAATTATTATATTAGGCTATATTTGTGTTGTAGTCATTGTGACCCCTGGTTCCCATCACCACCACTGTAAAGACATCTGAGTCTCTGCAATCAACCATGAATGTAAACTGAGTTTTGAGTTTTAGTTTGAGGTTTAGCCCTTCAGTTTTTAACACCTGCTAAAATGTTATCTTGAAACTTTAACTTGAAACTTGTAACTGACTTCACACAAATACTTAAGATGTTTTATGCAAATGGACACAGGCCTGTTTCTGGGCCAGGAAGACCAGCACATCGCCTTTTTCTGACTTGAGGCTTGAATTCTGAGAGTGCCATACGGCCAAAAAGTTGTGGTTCTGATGTTTGGTTGCTTCTGATTGGTCGAACTCATTTACAAGCACTTCACATTATTAGGATACACATGTTGATAATGTAAGCTAAAACCTGCAGCTCTGCTGCTCGTTTGATTTAAAAACTGCTCTTTTTTGTGATTTTAATATAAAAATGATGAATCTTTCAGCCTTCCTATAACGTATACATTAAGTTTGGTCAATATATAGGGAAGTCTGTGCACTCAGTGGCCATCTAGACAACAACCCGGGCAGGTATTTCCATTCATACAAGAGCAGTGGCCACTTGCGCTTAAGTTAAGTGGTTAAGAGACACATTTAAAGCTGTACATTTACATTTAAAAGTTGCAACCATTAAAAACTTGAGTGATAAAACCTAGGGAATCAAATCTTATTTATTTATTTATTTATTTAACTTTCCATTTAAACATTTTCCCAAAGAGATTTTATGTAGTTCACTGAAGGTAAAGGAAAAACGGGTAAAACTTTACTGTAGGGTGCTGTTCTTAAGGCTACATGACACCTACATAAGCCTTTCATGACAACTGACATAACCCTACACAAATATTTATAAAAGTTTATTCCAATAAGCGTCATTCGCTATAAAGGTTACATTTGCCAGTTTTGACCAAAGTTAGCCAAAGTAGCCTTTATGACAGATGAGGCCTATTAGAATAAGCATTTATAAACATTCATGTAGGGCTATGTCAGTTGTCATGAAAAGCTTATGTAGGTGTCATGTAGCCTTATGAACACACCGTACAGCAAAGTGTTACCGAAAAACGTAAGGCCAAAATTCATTAAGATGTTCTATGCAAGGCTCCTTTTTCTTTGAAAAGGGAAAACCTATAGCTAGTGGCTGTTCTTTTCACTTCACTCTGTGAACAGGACTCGAGTAAAACAAAAGTCAATAGTTTCACGAACTAAAAAAGAAAAAAAAAAAATTCTCACTCAAAAAATCACTCAATTCAATTTCAGCATTGTGGTTTTTAATGTATTAATCAGTTGAAACCAATGCAGCTGTACAGTACTGGCATTATAAAAGAATCATTTTGTAGTTGCATCAGCAAAAAACTATTGTAATATTAATGAAAACAGTGAGTGTAAAATTTTTAACAGTACTGTATGTTAGAACCTCAGCCCAAAGTCCTTCAGTAAGTCAGGAAAACCCCACTATCATCAGCTTTAAGACAAATGTGAACGACCTTAGGCGTCATTACGATTCAGCTACAGTTTACATTAAGAAAGAAATCCATCTAACTAGGGTTGGTCTGCTATTGCAGTAGCAGGACTCCCTTAATGTTGACTGAAGTGTGACATAAGAGGAACGTGTGGATCCTCTGAAGTCATCTCGCAAAGCATATTGGCACTGATTATACACATCTACACCGTCCAACTTTGACCTCAGCAATATTTGAAGGTAAATCCTGCATAATAAACCCCTTCAAATCAGATTGTGCTCATCTGAAGAGCGCCCGCAGGTAAAATCTAATTTGCAAAAAGAGCCTTCAGGTAAAAAACTCTTATTAATAAAGACATCAGTCAGCAAAACAGAGCTGTACGATTTTTATATGTAGTAAATTCAAGATGGGAATTTTAGCTAAACTCATATCCCTATTTCCCTTCACTATATTTAATTAGAGATGCGTTTTTTTCAGACTTAAAAGGAGCCAGAGGGAGAGAGGGAGGGAGAAAGAGAGAGCCTGTCTTTGTACATATCCCTCGAGTCTTAATTTTCTCTTTTAGGGGATGGTTATAGCAGCGTGAATGGTGATGACCACTGACTGAATGCCATAGATTGTAATTCTATTTATAAAGCTCATGTGATAGGTGTGGGTTGTAGAGCCTAAAGTGTGTAGCCCTCCTTCACCAGTGACTTTATAGCTCACCAATAAGCTATAAAGTGCAAAAGAACTAATATTTTTTTTCCTCCATTATTGAAGTTCACACTCTTCAAATTAATATTTTTCATTTTAGCTTCCTATCTTACAGCTCAATCTCCTCATTTACATTCAAAACAATTCTCCCAGTGGCAGCCGACCCTCTTTCTCTGAGCCGCCCTCTTGGATCCTGTTATTTACTCTAGCAACTCCCGTCCTTTTAAATAAATCGCTCAACTCCATTACTTGTATCTTAATGGAAAAAATAATACATATATGATTAATGTTTGCCAATGGCGAGCGTTTTATTCCAGCTCGTTCTGGGCTCGGCTGTGCCTTTCTGTACAGCAACCTGCCCTAAATACATATGAATAAGGAGACAGACTTCACAAAGAGTGGCTGGCATGCATGCATCAAAAAAAGTTCTTAATAAGATACTTTACCTGCGAGGCACCCCATGAATGACTGCAGCACCAGCAGTTTCCATAGCAACTTCATCTTCGGTTCCGAGGGGTCAAAGTCGACTCACATCCGATCACGTATGTATGGAATCCTTTCTGAACCGGCTTTGCGCTTCACTCTGCCCAAAACAAAATGGAAATGGAGATTTTAATGCGTTCAGAGGAATCTCCTGCTCTGAATGGCTGCTTGAGTTACAGCGTGTAGGGAACTTTGAGCTCCATCTCAGATTGATTTCCTGGTCCACTGGTCGTAGATCTGTGACTCAACCCGGACGAGAGGATTTGTGACAAAACAGCCCCAATTCCAGTGCTCAGTTTCAGAAAGGAGGTAAACAATCCTGCTAAAGGCTTTAAAGAGCATCATAGTTCAATCACTGAGATGTAAACAGTCATTCAGAGCATTTTGATGCCAAATGCACCATTTAAGAGAAACTTACAGACTCAGATTTCTTTACAGTGGTGGTGATAGGGGTCGCCAGAGGTCATCGTGTGTACAACACAAACGTAGCCATTTAATTTACTATCTAAAACCACCAAAGAACCCACACGTCTCCTGAGCTGTATAAGGAATGTTGATGATGGGAGAATAGTGGAAAATCTGAACAAACAAGTTTTCTTTGGGGACTATTTTGCCTCACAACACCCCGCATGCACACTTCAACTACAAATTAGGTGTGTTAGGTGAAATCATTCTCCCAAACATATCATAAATCAGTGTCTCAGACATCAGGCAGTGAATTCATAACCATTTCATGTAATAACTCTCTGTGAGGGAGCTTTTAGAGGTGGATGTCTGGTTCCTATCACCACCACTGTGAACAGTTCTGAATTGGTAAGTTTCTCTAAAACGGGGTGTTTCACACCAAACCACCCTGAATTACTCTGTTTACATAACACCAACCGAGTTCAGTACTACCACGTATAGATAAATACATTATCATTCAGTATCATATCACATTTTAATTCAAGTAATTAGCATCCATGAGTAATAAAGACTACTGATTGGCTGTCTAAATTACATTCCGAGTCTTATTAACAGATTTAACATTTTAAGACCAAAACAAACCCGTGGCTATTTCTGCCATTTAATCTGCTCTACTGATGTTTAGATGTTTAAGCTCGTCTCACAAACTACCTGAACAAGCAAACACATGGATAGGATGTAAACAATAAGGACTTTTTACTGATTAGACTAGTAATAAACCAGTAATAAAGCAACAAAGGAGCCTTGTGCATCTTTTATACAGTGATAAGAAACACAGTAGCTCACAGAAAGCTCTGATTGTAAACACCGATGTGCTTCACTCTGGCCAACATGGACACGCATGTGTTGTAACTTCTCTGGCAGCACTTTTAAAAGAGTTTAAGTGATCACCAAATTCTTAGAACGGGTCACCAGCAAGACAATTGGATCCGTAGGGTTAATCAACAAACTTTCGGTTTGTTATTTAAAGAAGGCATCAAAAAAGTAGCAACCAGGAATCGAAAGTCAAGATACCATACTGGTATCGGTATCAAAAAAGTTTGAGCAATACTCAAAATTACTAAATTAAACTCAATTAAACTGCATTTCTCTATTTATAAAATCTATTAAAATGTTCCTTCTTAATTGATCAGCAATGATTAGTTGGCAATTCGCATGATTCTAGTTGTCTTACAACTACACTCATTTATACATACTTAAAAATGATGGTTCTTCAAGGGTTCTTTACTAATGAAAACGGTTCTATACAGAACCATGAACACTTAAATAACCCTCTGCATGATTTAAGGGGTCTTGCATCGTGAAATCGTTCTTCAGATTGATGGAGAATGTGTTATATATCATTCTATATCGAACCTTTTTGTCAAGCTTGTAATAATAAAAGAACCCTTTTTGGTTCTAAATAGAACCCTTTTCAAAAGGGGCCAATCTGAGGCACCCTTCACAATGCAAAGAACCCTTTAATCATGCAAAGGGTTCTTTGAGCGTTCATGGTTCCATATGGGACCATTTTCTTTACTAAAGAATCCTTGAAGAGCCATCTTTTTTAAGGGTGTAGGCATTTTCTTTTCTAATAAAGTATTATGAAATTATGAAATCTTTAAAATAGTTTGACAACAACTCAACAAATAATAATGCCTTTCTAGACATGCAGGACTATTTCAAGAAGCACGTTCAACTTAAACAGTGTGACGATGCAACAGGATTCAGACGCTTGCGGATAAAAAGTGTACACCAAGCTTTATTCGAGGGCGACAAAGAAGAGGTCAAAAAACATGCGTGGGTCGTAACCAGAAAGCAGTATAAGATCACCGAAGTGATCATAACCAAAACAAACAAATCCAAGGGAGAGATCCGATATCGTAGTCAAAAAACCAGGCCAAACAATCAAAACACGTATCCAAAAACAGTCAGCAAAAGTACAAGAAGGGACAGGCAAAAATCAAGGTCAGTGAAACAAAACGTAGGTCATAACAGGTCGTAGCAAACAGAATAATAGAAACGCTCAGCAAGTTCTAGAAGAAACAATACCTCACAACGACTAAGACTAAAGCCTGGGCTTATAAACTATACTAAGTGGGTCATATGACAACAAACACAGGTGAATGTATTTAGTATTCCGGTGAATGTGAGCGCTGATAGGTGCGTGCACAACCATCCAAAGTCATATGATCTCCCGAGGGGTTGTGGGCAATGGAGTCCCTTCTGGTTTCTGCGTCAGAGGGAAGTTGCTCAGTCACATGATCTACTAAGGTATTGTGGGAAATGTAGTCTGAGTCCTCCTGAGGCGTGACAAACAGGGTTCCTGGCTGAGTTTCACCTTCATAAAACACAACAAACGCAGCCGCGCTTAACTCGTTCAACAACGTCCTCAGTTAATCCAGGTTTAGATACTCAAGTTGTGATTGATTCTCACACACCTGCACATCAAGACCTGATGTTTATGACAAACAGCCAATCATGTGAAACATGAGGAGGAGTCGAGCAGCTTACTTTGCAAAGAAGGGCAAAAAATCATACAAAGTATTTATGTATTAAGTAAAGCATTTATAACAGTAAAAAGCAGTGCTGCCTTCACTGCCTTTGCTTCATATTCTTCATATCTGTGTGGTCAGATTTTTTTTTCCTTCACTGAAAAGTGATATTTTCACATAATTGACTCCACAAACGTCACAAAAAAATAAAAGTCACCTTCGTCAGACCCTGACTGGTCAGAAGCTCTGCCCTGATTGGCCCAAGAGCTCCTTATAATCTGAAATCCCACACATAACCTGCCCTGGAGCAGGTTAGGCCTGCAGCATACGAACACTATGGTGATGTAGCCCAGTGAGTTTAACCTAAAGCTTAAAGTTAGCTGGATAAAGACCGAAAGCAAACAAGAGGGACGTGAAACACCTGATAAAGGAGGGAAAGTCAACAAAACACATGCAAAAACTAATAAACTATAATAGAGTAATAGGAAATAAAAATAATTGACAAATTATTTAACTACTAATATTACTAATCACAGTGATTGTGAGAGTCTCCCTAACTGGGAGTCCAAATGGCAAAGTGTCTGATACACTGTAGGTCATAAATATATTAAGACAACATCACGCATTAAGATTCCCCTTTAAAGGGCCCATATCATGGAAAAACCAGCTTTCCTCACCTTTGAAATAAATGTGTTTGATGTAGAAAGCTTCAAAACATACTGTTCACTCCCCAATATGGAAATGAAGTTGCAAAAACAGCCCTGTTGTAAATTCACTGTTTTTGTGATGTCACTATGTAAGTCCAGTCTGCTAATTTAGCCTCGTCCATTCATGCCGTAGTTAAAAAAAGAGTGTGAAAGAGTAAAAGATGATTTTTGAACAATAGCCCCAATACAGGGCAGCCACTCAGACCAAATTCATTTACATACATCAGTCTTAAAGATACAGTAATAAAAACAGTCTGTTTAATTCTAAGGGATAAAGGGAGGTTGGAAAATGGAAAACAGTCATGTAAAAATGAATTATGGAACATAAAACCACATAAAGGTCATAAGTGGACCTCAGGGGAAAAAGTAAAGTACAAGACAAATGTAGGCTCTGGGCCTTTTAAAGGTACAGTAATCTAATAACCAGAATTAAACGGCTAGCAAACAAATTCAAGGCGCAGATCCATCAACCAAAACCAAACCCCTCAGTTTCAGCACTGCATCATCTCCTGCAGCCTCTGTGTGCTCGGGAGAGGTGGGAGATGGTCTGCAGGCGCTTGTTGTGAGCTGAGAGGAGGGGAAGCAAACTGTGTTTTTCTCTGCAGAGGGGGTCCCAGGGGCATCGGCATGGAATCAGTGCCCAAACTCAAAGGCTCACACACTGTGTGTCAGACGGAGAGAAATTCTCCAAGAGCTGCGGCCCTTTGACACAGCAAAAGCACAAAGTACACTGGATGGAGGTGGGAGGAAATCAATGGCATGTGCTGTGCGGTCCCAGAGTCCCCTGCAAGTGCTTTGAGAACATCAGCTCTCTCAGACTGGAAGCACTTTTGAGTAATATTTTACCTTTGCCCTTTGGTTTTAACAAGACTAAACGCTGGCCAGCATAGCAGTGAATTTTACAGCTGCCGTGTGCCAGAATTCATGTGTCACTTTTCTGAGAAAAGGTGTAAAAAATGAAATTAATGTGCGTAATTTGAGCGATGCCCTATAAGAACCACCTTTGGTTCCCTAAAGAACCAGTTTTGAAAAGGAAATGTGGAAGTGTGAAGAACCTTTTACAGGTTTAAGTACATTCATATGATATAAACTCTTCTTAACTAATTTAAAAGTTCTTTCTACGACCTTCTTTAAACAAGGTCTCATTTACAAAGATGGTACTCTAAAGAAACATTCACTGAAAGGTTCTTTAGGGAAACCAAAAGTGGTTCTATTACGGCAAAGAACCCATTTTTGCACCTTTAGTTTTAAACAAACCACATAATTGAAAAAACAACGTTTACCTTGTGAAATTAAAGAGTTCAATGTAATATGTGAACACTGTCCATTTATGGAAAATAAGCTGCAAAAGCAGCCTGTTTTTGAACTCACTGGTTTTGTGATGTCATGGCAAAACAATACGGTTACATATATCCACCTATTCAGACCACTGCAGTTTAGCTCCGCCCACTAAC